TTCGCCTGTTCTGAGAAGCCAGTCATGCTTTCTGGGCTACACATTTTAATAAGAGGAAATTCTGAAGCGAGTGCCATGTTGACTGCCAAGGCTGTTTTACCTGAACCAACTGGGCCTACGATGATAAAACCAAATTCAGAGTGGTGTTGGCACAGTGATTAGTCCATGTGTCGTTCACATTGCATAGCAGGAGACGATTTTTACGCTTTATAAGTATTTTCAAGATACTGTATAACTTGGACTGCCCCAGTCAACTGAGAGATACATTTAAATTCAGGCGTTGCATGCACAACAGAGACCTGAGGGATAAGACGCTGCTTGATCTTCCGAAGGTGAATAGTGCAATAAGTCAATAATTTGGGGTTGATAATTGTAATCGCTGTTCTCCCGTTAATAGCAGCAGGATTGCTGATGGGATTTTTAACAGTTTAGTTATTATTATTTGATACTGGGATTGATACTTGAGAGCAGAATACTAGAATAGATAGAGCTATTCACTGAGACAAAATCATACCTTCAAGCAAAACACTGACGGGTCCCATGGAGCTATCATGTACTTTGGTTTGCTCTATCAGCAATTTTCCATCAGAGATAATCTGCTCGATCATCGGACACCAACGAATGATATCTAACAGAAAATAGAAGAAGCGATTCAGAGAAAGAGAAGCCAGTTGATAGAATATTGATTGAAACTTGAAACAGACAGAAGAGAGGAAGCCCACCATTAAGAACAAAGTACTCCAGATCATCATCACTTGCGCCAAATGCCTAAAGTGAAAAAAAAGTTTTTTAAATTTGTACAACAAGGAGGGTTAGTTATCCAAACGATGTCTATTATTTCTATTGTCCAAGTACATACTAAAATTTGGAGTACATCAGGGGTAGAAAAAGTATCGGAACCTGGGAACCTAGTTCCCAGAAATTTTTTTGAGTTGAGAGTTTTGCAGAAAATTTTCCAGAAAATATTTCAACATTTTGAGATAACTCTGTTTACTCAACTTACAAGTTACAACTATTATACTTTATTTACACTGTACACGCTATAACATCAGCAGCCTTTTAAATATTTGACAAAAATTAATTCTTTTACCCATCCCTGCCATCACAATGAGGTAAAATGGTAAATATATATTCTGCAAAGTATCCAATAAAATGCAAATTAAGTAGTAAAGAAATAAAAGTGATGGAATAAATAAGATGATAGGACACTTAGTTAAGCGTTAGATCCTTACTATAGTTGGTCATAACTCAGAACTGTGGTACATCACAAACAACTATTGCGATGTACAAGCATACAAAAACCTGCCTAAAGCCTATTATTACTAAAGTACAAATAATGTAATAATTATGCATTTGTTTTGTTATTTTTGTAATTGTAACATTGCAAATTTTACAGAAAATTTCTAGCCTTCGACCCAGGTTCCAAGAAAGAAAAAATGTTTTCTACCCCTGGAGTACATACAGTGCAAACAGAAAATAGTCGTATCTTACCGGCTTGATGTCGTGTTCCAGAGCATGATTAAAATCTGTCGGTTTCACCAACACTTTCGAGACGGCGTCAGGTGCAATTTCTAACGTCGTCTCCATCTAAGTAGAGAAGTTTAAAATTTTTTTTTAACTTGTTTACCATTGAAAGCTTCAAATTAATGCTAGACAGAGACACCACTGAGGAAGATAGGTTACGGAACAAAGGGAGAGGATGGAGTGTATCTTACTACAAAACACAATGATTCACCTTAAGAAATCGGTTCATAGCGTTTGATTGCGCAGCTCGCACCAGTCCCTCGATCTCAGCCCCACTAAAATTCTTGGTCTGTGCAGCGAGTTCTGCGAGATCTACGTCACTGCTCAGTAAGTTGTTTTCTCGCAAGGCTCGAGTGTGAATCTCGAGGATCTGAAGACGACCTGGTTCATCCGCCAGACCTGTTGTGGAGGTATAAAGAGGGGAAATCAGTTCGTATATGTTTAACCAGTTTATATGTTTTATATGTTTGGGTTAACCAGTTGGTATATGTTTACGTAAATTGGAGTATCGTGTATATGTACTTGTGTATTATTATCTTTTTATATATAATAATTGAAACGGGAGAGTGCCTCGCATGGGCCTTTATAGAGTCTCGTTCGCACTCTTGCCGCTTGAACTTTCTGGCCTAAGATATACGTTTAGTTGAGGATAATAATACAGTAATGAACCTCCAATACGATTTTAGGATAGATATCACTCTGAATACACAATGTATCTTTACTATCTGCCCTCGTAGTTGCGACGACCCTGGGAATTGAAGTTACAGGAAAAATTAGGTCGCGTAATGATGGTCTTAAGGAAAACTCACTTATCTCTACTTGTACTTCCATTCTACCAGGTCGTAGTAAGGCTTCGTCTATCAAATCTTTTCTGTTGGTCATCCCTAAAAAATAATGTTTTACTCCATACAAGTCGAAAACAACACAATCGGCATGACATGGTATAAACGGTATGCAAGTTTACACCACAGAATAGAGACTACAACAGAAGCCCGACTTCTTGGTTTTTCCTATGATTTTGGCGTAACCGTAATTCGTCATCAAACTACTCAAGCCATGGTCCTAGCCAGCGCGCTTACAGTATGAGAGGCATTCACCCCCTGATAATATTCAAAATGGCGGACGTCCAGGCAACCTCGTACCCAGGCCCTCTTCTCTACGCTCCTCGCTGGAGGAAGAGATCCTGGTGAATGCTGGTCACGTGGCTCCCAGATTTTGAAAGCCACATATATGTCCTCCGGGAGGGGTGGTACTTTTCAATGTATGTAATTTGAGACTAGTACTTGTAGTCTGGTGGCTATAAACTTTGAGCAGACTGATCAAAATACATACGCGATATTTGAGTTTCAAATTGAGTTTCAATTGTCTACACTTTCTTGTGGATGATACAGTGTATACTCTCACTCGGAAGCCAGATGTTATAAATATTGATAAAAAGTGCGACACGATTTACATTTACGCAAATAAAGTACGAACCCTCCACTCCCTAGTAATCGATATCCACGTGGCTCTCAAAATCTGGGAGCCACGTGACCAGCATTCACCAGGGTCTCTTCCTCCAGCGAGGAGCGTAGAGAAGAGAGCCTGGGTACGAGGTTGACGTCCAGGGGGAATCCGAATGCCTCATCTGTGGCACTGGTTAGGACCATGGCGTCAGCATTTTGATGACGAATCATGACGTGACAGCAGTTACGCTTTTTTGGCTGAGTCGACCTTCTGTGTGTCTTTATTCTGTGTCTACACTGTGTACCTACCAATGAGCAACACGTTGTTGAGTTGTTCCACACCATCAATCTAAAAGAACGTTATTCTAGACAACTTAATAAAGATGTTGAAAAAATTTCGACATATCAACTATTACGAACTTGACCTTGTAGCTCAGTTGGTAGAGCATTAGACTAACAAACCAAAGGTCTCGGGTTCGATTCCCACCACGGTCAAAGTAGCATCATTTAAAATAACGTTACCTCAGTTTAAATACCACAATCATACAATTTTTTATTTAGATTATTAGATTTAAGATTTAGATTTAAGATCGTAAGATATATACAAACAAACCAAAGGTCGCCAGCATCATCTAAAATCAGGGACCGCGGAACAGGGGGGCCGGGATAAAAAAAATTCGGTAAATAAACATTTTCGGTTTTTTAAAAAAATTCGGTAAATAAACATTTCGATTTTTCTGCCCCCCCCCCCCACACACACACTTTTAAACAGGCTCCACGATCCCTGAAAATAAAGGTTAATCAAGGTTTCATATAGTTAAACTATTTTACCAGGATTTACTCACTTTGGCCAACAACTGATTCACGACAGAATCCTGAACTCCCGTTCCACCAGACTGAAAAATTAAGAATTGCGTGAAGAACAAGTGCATGATGGGAAACACACAATGTCATGCAGGCTTAGTCCACGATTTAGTTTTCCGTACAAAAAGGTGAATCAGCAAAATGCGAGCGTCAATAACCTACTTACACCGTAGCTATATCTTGACTTACACACGGCGTCAAATTCGTCAAAAATAATGAGATGTAGCCCACTGTTAACGCCATGCTAGTAAAATAAAGATATTTAGTACAGTCAGTACATGTATGCTTGCACAAAACGTTTTCTCATCGCTGACGGTACCTTCTTCTGTTCTTCCTCAGCTTCTGCAAACAGTTTTCTATATGGAAGAACACCTAATGTCAACTTTTATACAACAATTGAAACGGAGTTAAATGTTGTGTTTCTGATGTTACTCTAAGTGTGTATCCACACCAGACAGGCTAAAAAATTTGCCTGACGAATCGAACCCACGACGTCGGTTCCCACCGTGTCAGGCAAACGTCTCAGCCTGCCCGGTGTGGATACACAATCAGAGTAACATCATTACATCAGAAACATCATATTCACCTGAGTACATAACATCATACACACAAAAAAACAGGGGTTAAATGTTGTTGCGACTATAGACTATAGACTCTCTGACAGGAATCGAACCTACGGCCCTGCGATTCCGGTGTGGTGCAACTGTTCCTGGTCAGTGTCTTAGCCGGAAGGCCGTGTTGGCCGTGTTATCGTGGCCAAAAATGTAAAAACACGGCTAGATGAAATGATCGCGGCTTTATTATTTATTTTTGACCGTGCATGTAGGTTCATAAAACAAGGTGTTGCTACTTACTGTACAACATACAGAATTTCTTTGTAAAATCTACTGTAGTTGTTGAAATTGGTAAAAGTGACCTGTGATGTTTTAATGTTTTGATGAATAATGGGCACCGTATGGTTGTTAAAATGGCTTTAAATACCCCCAAGAATTGCTAAAATAATTTATTATAATGTCAGTGCGAAATATGAGCGTATGCATGCTCGCCTTGTATTTGGTTGAAAAGCATAGAACAACTACAGGTATAGTCTATTGTTGACAAGCATAACTGGAATCGTGTTTTTGGCTATTCAAGGTAATTGACATGGGCACACCCTGGAAATTTAGAAAAACGCCCAAGATATAAAATGCTAGCTAAGACCCTGTTCCTGGTTACGGACCGGTCATAAAGTAACTGCTAGGGTGGGCTGGAGTGATTTGGGATGGGCCATGGAAAATCTTTGGGCAGTTTCGATGGGCCGCCAATTTTTTTGTATGTCCACGATTGGGCCACCAAACAAAAACCCATTCATGTCTACTTCAAAAAAATAAAGATATTAATAATAAAAGTAAACAAAATATCCAAAATATTGAAGCCAGTACTTTGTTTATACAACAAGAAGTGGTCGAATCATAGCAAATACAACCAACTGGAGAGCAGTTCAGTATCGTAATTGGTGATGAATGTGTTGGTCCAGCTTGGTGGAATTAGGAATTATGTATGTCAATACAGTGCCGGTGTATATTTACAATGTTCATACCTGCAAGTTTTTTTTATTATAAAAATGTATTTTCCCAATTTAGATTGGGTGGGTCATGAAAATTTTTTTATAAGATTAGATGGGCTTTGAAATTTTTATGTGCATCCTAAGATGGGTCACCAAACTTATTGGCAAAATTTGTGATTCACCTCCAGCCCACCCTAGCAGTTACTTTACGACCAGTCCCTTAGGTCTAATAAATGTATAAAATTTACACTCAAAATCTAGAAAAATCTTTCGCGAATGTTGTTGCACACTATCACAAAAGAAGCCCCAGGGCTGGCAGCGATCTCGCAAACTAATAAGCCGACAGTATATTTATATAGTATCCAAATAAATTTATTCCAAATTTTGGTTTTATGCTAGGCGATTAATCAACACACCTGATATTAGCTTCTGATTCGCCAACATATTTATTCAAAATCTCTATTAAAAAAACATCGGTGAATTAGACCAAATGGCATCTGTAAATATTTGTTTCAGGTAAATTTCTAATGAATGAACAGGTAAAGGAAAATAGATTTATTGCAAAAAATGTAGTAAGATCAAAGAATTGTTCTGTGGTAGCCGGCAAAACAGGCGCTTGGTTACCTGTTGCAGGCTATTCTGCGGTTACATTCATTTACCTGGTCCACTGATAATCTTTGGTTCACGACAGTTCAACATTTTTCCAATTTGTCTTGCCATCAATGTCTTGCCCGTTCCTAAGGTCGTGTTAAAGTAATGTCACATTTTCGACATATTTATAATTAACCCATTAAGCTGCAATGCATCCTACAAACGATTTTACTCGTCAAAGAAGAGGCTTGCGTTTTAATGGTTAAACAGTTCAATTTTTTCAAAATAAATCATTCTCAAATTCATACCTGGGGGTCCGAATAAGAGAATGCCTTTCACATGCTTCACTCCTAGGAATCAGAAAAAGAAACACGTTACAATCTATCTCTAAAAATACTTACACACTAGTTTATTGACTTTCTCGCTAACTGGTGAGCGGATTTCCAAACAGGCTGTATGCCTATCCTGGATTCCACACTGAAGATATGAAAACCGCAACTGTTCAAAAATCTCACCCATTTTCTCCGTTAGCTCGGCAGGAAAGAGTCTTGAGGCAAATGCTCTTCGAATGATGGTTGAAAATTCCTTGAAAGAGAAAACCATGCATGTATAAAAGTTCCTTGTATTAACACAAAGTACAAAGCTCGGATGAAACAAAGATGAGAGTGTACGAGAGTTGGCAGTCACGCGGTCTTGGTTAGCTGTTCTTAATGCTTTCCCAACACTATCATGTGTTGCATTCAAGTTAAAACATAGTTAGAACACTCGTCAAACCTTTATTTTGTTAATCTAGAGCTTGAAATGTCCCCTGTAACAATGTGTGACTGCCAACTCTCATCAACTTTCATTGTCGTTTGACCGGGCCTTTAATAACGGCAACCAGTACGAGTGAATAATGGAAATAGGACCACGGACTTGCGTGCACTCGTTTCTCACAAGTCAATTGTATGTTACTTGGAGACTGTTTTAAACCAACCTTGTCCAGACCTCCAATGCCCAGTTTCGTAAAATCCCATTCAGTGTTGATAATAGATTGCGTCGCTGATTTACTGTTTGCAAAAAAACACAGAAGTATGATTTATTGAACGATAAATAGAGAATAATACATGGGTGCGCGGAAATACCAGATTTATTTCGAGTGTTGAACATGATATCTCACGAGTGAGCGCAGCGAACGAGTGAGATATCATGTTCAACACGAGAAATAAATCTGGTATTTCCAAGCAGCCATGTATTTTTCTGTTTATTATATAAACAAAATTCAGTGAAAAACAATAAAGCGTCCGTGGCAATGCGTTTTACAACAAATGATATTTTCACACGTAAAAATATCGTATTTTTTACGTGTGTTTAAATACGATTTTTCTCAGTGGCCAAAAACTCTATATAACACTTATGTTTATATAATAAATATATTTTCACGTGCAAGAATCTCCATCCATGAAAAGAGATCAAACTTACCCTTTAGATTTCCCCACCAAATTTAGTGCTGAGCCCTAGAAAAATTGACATGTTTTACAAAATTTGCATCAACAAAAAGAAGCGTAGCATGCACCATAGATGCGCACACACGACATATTTGGACCAGCCTACCTCTGCTTTCTCAAATATTATTCTAGTATTTCCAGATATGACACCTTTTGACACCTTGAAAACAAAGATTTATAAAATTTTAAATGGAACACGATTTCACACATCAAAGCTCAAGGCAACTTTCAAGTATCTAAAATAAGATCCTGAAGCAACTTACCTTCATCGGTTCAAAGTTCGATTCTGAAGCAAGGGCTTTCTTAGGATCCAAAACTAGAAAAATACATTACTCCATAAGAATTTGCAACATTGTAACAAGTTGTTCTCCCTAGATTTATAGAGAGGTTCAGCTTCGACTTCCACTACCACTCGCTGACTAATAGCCTGCATCTGATTGGTTAATCTGATATATCAAACGCATCTGATTGGTTAATAGTCCCTTAATGGTAGCGGTAGTGGAATTCAAATCTGAACTTCTCGTATGTTGCAAAGTGAAAAATACTTTACCATCCATCTTCTGTACAATAAGCTGAAGATATTTCTTATCACCATACGTGAAGACCAACTGTAAAAGACAACCCTTCACATTTCATACTTTGTATTGACAATTTGTACGAAGTTGAATTACAGTCTACATAAAAACAAGGCGAGCTACATACTGGCTGTCCTTCAGAGAAAGCTCGATTACAGAACTGATCAATCAATACTTCTGACATTTTGTCTGTATCGTAAGGTTCTTGTGAAACACTAAAACATCAAATTCAAAATACTGTTCACAATATCTTTTAGAAATCTGGTAGATGGAATTTATATACATTTTTAGATGTAAATCGGGAGAAAAAATGTAACCATTGACAGGTAGGAATCAATTTATGATCCTGGGATTCCTGTTCTTTGAGCTACAGACACCAGTTCAGGGGAGTCGGAGCATCTAAAGGGGTCCGGGGGCATGCCCCCTGAAAGAATTTTAAAACTAGAGTCAAACTTGTAATCGTAATTGGCAAGTTTGTAACAAACTTGGGACCCACACGCTGAAAAGTGACTTGAAATCAACAATAATATTTACCGTGACTTCTGAAGGAAATCTGCCTCGAGGGTGATGCTGTTTAGGTTTGAATTGGCAGGAAACTTGTGTGGATGAACTGAAAGATAGATCTTGGTTTCAATGTTTGGCACAGGGGGGTGCTGAAGTTTCAACAGGGTTAGGGAGGGGGTGGGCCATTGCTCACCACCACAACACTTATCAACAGTTTTATAAATCATAAAAATTTTAAATTGTGAAAACTGTTCCAGATGGGGTAGCCCCTGAACCCTGGAGTGGTGTGTACCCCTTAATGCAGCCTTATTACTAGGGTGTACCAAGGTTGATTGGAGGGGTGGGTGTCAAAGAAGGCATAGAGGGTTGGAGAGGGGCAAGAAAGCATTAGAGGGGAAGAGTATAATTTTCAGGGGTGAAAAAGGTTGATTTTTCAGTGGGCAAGTAACATAACTTTTTTTAGGGGGGGGTCACATAATTTTCAGGAGGGAAATGAACATATTTTTATGCAGGAAGAAAAGGATAGATTTTTCAGGGGACAAGTTAGATTTAATTCTCAGAGGAGGCAAAGGGGCATAATTTTCATGGGGGCAAGGGAATAGATTATTCAGGAGGTAAGGGGGTATGACTTTCAAAGCAAAGGGGCTGCTAAAATATTACATAGCATATAAAGAACAGAGATTTCAACAGGGGGGGGGGGTATATGGCAGAATCTATGTAGTGGTATCACACATTTTGCAGACCTTCTCTTGAACCAAATAAAATGATGAAATTTAGTCCCACCTTCTAAAACTTGATTTAAGGCTATGCTTGTCCATTTCCGCTGTAATAAAGAGATGTAAACATAAAGTAGATGATTTTACTTGCCCAGATGTGGAGTCCTGAAGTACCCCCCTAAACAACTAAAGCATCTGGCTTAGCAGTTCACAATCCATAAAAATACAAGAATCTGAGCTCTGGAAAATTGGTGAAACTCTCATAGCTTTTATTTAGCAAATGACTTTTACTATGCATAGATTGTCAACACTAAGGAACACAGAGCAACAACATGAGTTATAACTAGTGGATCCACATTTTTTGTGCATATGCTCGGCAAGTTACTAGATGCATATGTCCCATTGGATGGCGGCTCGCCTTAACTGTTTCAGAACCATCCTCAGAGATACGAAAAACTAGTTTCAAATCGAGCCAACAAATTTTTCGTTGCTCGATTGCAGCACTTGTCAGATTAATATGAAACTAGTTTTTCGCTTTAACTGCTCGCAGAACTTGCCAAGCATGCGCAGTTGATCATTTTTTGCTTGGTCGCCTGAAAAAAGTGGGTATATGAAAACATAAATTTCCAGTGTTTACGACGGCCAGTTACAGTTCAGTATGTATCTACTCTGACATGCAGGAATGAAGGCCACTATCTCACAACAGAAAATGTGCAATGAGAGAATCTGAGCAACTGAGATACCAAGCACAGTTTTGAAATTTTGTGAATATTTACTGGTAAATTTTTAAAATAGATTGGGCAGGCAATTTCAAAACTTTCCAGTCAGGGGGGGAGGACAAAAATCACAGCAATGACACCATCATAAAATTATAACTTGCCTGTATTAAACTGACACCCACAGTACCATGTTTAACTTCTGAAGTCTTTAATATAGAATATATAAATTCTTGATGTCCCACACTACGGAACCTGACATGTCTATAAAAGCATAAAAACATCATCTTATAACCGAAACATCATCTAGAATTTCCAAAATTTGTCAAGTATAATACATATAACCCCAAAATCATCGCTATTTTTACTACTTACTGTATTTCCTCGTCAGGAAAGTCCGCCTCGTTAACAATAAAACAGTTAGAAAGGGATAAGCGACCTGAAGGTGACTTTATTGCCTTTAAATGTAATGCCATAATGCCATTTATATATTTATTTCATTTCCACAAATATTTAAAATCCAAAGATTTGAGGTCGTGTCATTTTGTTCGCTGCTGGGAAACTGGTTCCTATTCTTGGGTTTCATATGACGTCACAAAAGTGACGAGGGGGGGGGGGATCAACTCTAAAACAAAACCACACAAAACACAGTACGTATATCCACGGTTAATAGATATGGAATTCATATCATTTTCTCACTCCAGTACAGCATAAGCATCAATACATTTTAAGTTGACCCCCCGTCAGATTCACTGCATAATGCCGTTGTGAAAACCCAAGAATACCGGAAATTTTTGCAAGCTCAGCGCTTCGAGTATTCACTGAACTTTTGCAAAAACTTGGTTGCGCACCTCTCTCCTCCACAGAGGCTTCTGTTGGCTATGATTAATACGATTAGTATTGAGATACATCTCACTACACTTTACATGGCGGATCTTGGAACACGAGCGGAGCCGCTGAGCGGAAGGAGCGTTGTGCACAGTGAACTCTGAGGTTCACAGGTTGCGCAGCGCCGCAGCCCTAAAGAAATTGATGACAACAGAAATAACTATTTTCTTGTATTACTACAACTTTGTCGTCTCATAAGCAATCAGCATCGTTCAACAACATAGGGGAAAAAGCCCATGAGAATCGGGTTAAAACCTCTATTTGTCTTTATCTTTCTTTTTACTTTTGGAACTCTTCCAAACTTTTTTAACCTTCAATTTCTTCTTGGTCTCCTTTTCCAAAGGCACATTGTCAAATGGCGAAGGGTGGGGACGGGCAGGACGTTGCGTGGTGGGGACGTCTGGAGCGGGTAACCCCAGTGCAGGCCGGGGGATCGGGCTTTGCAGTGCCTTCTCCAGTGCTGCGCTTGCAGACGCAAGAGTCACATTGGTCCCAGGGCTATCACTACTGTCCGCAGAAGCCCCCACATTTTCCGTGACAAAATTGTCGGCGGTATTATTTTCGGCGACATTATTTTCGGCGACATTATTTTCGGTGACATTACTTTCCCCGTCATTATTTTCGGTGTAATAATTTTCGCCGTAATTTGCAGTATCATAAGTGCCATAGTATGCGGCGTATTCTTCATACGTGTAGGTATAATCCCCATAAGCCTCTCCTTCAAGTTCTGGAAATGAACAATATTTTGTTAGAAATACATGTTTGCCCGTTTTATATTAGAAACGGACAATGAAACCGGTACGGCGAATATTACCTGTCCCGTAGTCATACAGTACAGCGGGCTCATCTCTCGAGCCCACGATACAAAAGCTGACATTTTGCTGAGTATGCAGTTTTGCATAATTTTGCTGAATTTCGACCATGAAGGCGTCCAACTCCTCCGCCGTTCGTATATCTTGCCACATCGGAACATCGTCGCCTGACGACCCACCATAGAATCGGATCCACTTCGCCATGAAGTCGGCATCCTCCGGAAGATCTCGTAAGAAGGGAAACGTGAGTCGTAGCTCGGTCTCTTCTTCCGACATGTTTCCGACGACGACTAAAGGTGAGAGAAGCACTTCGCCAGAGCTCAGATAGGACGGGCTTGGAAGTTCATAAAAAATCTCCAAACTGACAGACTGGTTTTCGCTACTACTCTCCGTGATTACCACGTCAAAACCTACAAAAGAAAACATGGATACGAATGTCAAATTGCACCAGATGTACCTTGACTCCAGGATTTTTCAAAGTAGATTAGATCGATTATCATCTTTTACATCTAAGCTTAGATGAACAATCAATGATAAAAAACATTGTCTATGCTCACGTTGGAAATTACTTGTTTGCGAAGTGCATTTGAAGAATTCAATCCGATCAGGCAATTGGCTTAGCTATATGGAAACCTTAAAATGCTTGTCATTAAAGCTTCGTGTGAGAACAGACAATTTGCAATTGTTCATCCTTGGATGAAAGAGAGGTTCAGATTTTGACTTCCACCACTGCTACAATTAACCAATCAGATGCATTTAATCAATCCTACTAACCAATTAAAGGCGTTACATGGAAGTGAAATCTGACCTCTCTAATAACGACGATAGTTCGAACCCACACCTTTGCAAGAAACTTTTCCACCACATTTCCCAAATTCCATATTCAAACAAAAACTTGAATCACGTTTCTGTACTGTCGTTCTTTGCTCTTCATAATTTTGTTGCAATGCTTGGGTTGTCCCTATTTCTTGTTGTCCTTCTGTAACCTTTTCCAAAGTCTCCTGGCATTCTGTCTCTTCTGTGTCAGCTTCCAAGCCACAAGGCTCTTCCGTTTCCTCACAAACTTCGACAACTACAAAACGTATCAATATTATCAAGGTGCATTTAACTACTGTCAAGCATAGACTGATTGACCGATCGACCTACCCAACAACTGACTACTCCTAATCTCTACCAACTCCTAACTATCTCTACGAACTCCTAACTATCTCCACTAACCCCTGACTATCTCCACTAACTCCTGACTATCTCTACCTAGTCCTAATTATCTCCACTAACTCCTAACTATCTCCACTAACTCCTGACTATCTCTACCAACTCCTAACTATCACTACCAACTATCACTACCAACTCCTAACTATCACTACCAACTCCTAACTATCTCCACTAACTCCTAACTATCTCTACCAACTACCAACCCCTAACTATCCCTACCAACTCCTAACTATCTCTACCAACTACCAATCCTAACTATCACTACCAACTCCCAACTATCACTACCAACTCCTAACTGTCTCCACTAACTCCTAACTATCTCTACCAACTACCAACCCCTAACTATCCCTACCAACTCCTAACTATCTCTACCTGCCCTACCTTCTTCCATATTCGGTAATACAACAGCTATTTCATCGCCACTTCTAGAAACTCGCGGTTCTGAGTATTTCAACCTTCCTTCAACTATAAACCTCAAAGAAACCTGCTGGCCTGATTCAGAATTAACGGAAACTCTATGAAAAGTAAAACATCTATAAATTTCTAGGAATATTTTCCATCCAACACCGAGGAAAGCCTACGGCAATTGCCTCAATCACAGGTCAGAAGAGTATTCCTCTACCAAACACCACAGGATTTCTCCGGGAACTCCAGTTTCCTCCTGTAACACTAGACGAATAAGGGAATGCCCTTGCTAAATCTCCCAGGGAGAATAGTCTAAAACTAATAGAGCTATCCAGTATAAATAAAGTTAGCTTAGAATATTAGACTGAGGCAAAAATAAAAGCTTATGAAAGAATTCATGAAACAGAGTCCATACTTACTCATCTGATTTTTCAAAAGGTAACCAAACTTGTTTTGCAACGTCAACTATGGCCATGAAGAAAGCAATCAAACTATTCTTATGAGGCGTATCCAAGATTACGTCAAACGACTGCATTTGTAGTACGAGAAAATCTGTATCTAGAACGCTAAAAAACAAATGTTGTAGGGTTGTATAGTAAGCCTTGCTGCAGATGTGGTCAATTTCAGAAAGGTTCACTCACTGCAGGAGCAAGGAAATTAAACTAAAACTCTGCCCTAAAGCCTGGGTTCACATATGTCTGCGGTATGCCTGCGCTATCATTGTTTGCAGCTGTTGATGCATACATTCTTTTGTGAATTACTACGTTGAACTGCTAATAACAATAGCCCGCCAGCATACAGCAGGTATACGTGAATCAGGCTTTATTTATTTGCTACCAAACACTGATACATACCAGTTGACAAACCTCTACGGCACCATAGACACAGTGCTTAGTATAAAGGTTCAGATTTGACTTCCACTACTGTTACCGCTACCATTAAGGGACTATCAACCAATCAAATGAGTTTCATACATTCGATTAACCAATCAGACGCGTGCTAAGCCAGTGAGAGATAGTGAAAGTCAAATCTGAACCTCTCTATTGAAACCCATGCGTCGTTCATATTTTCAGAGCAAATAAACACTTGGCTCACCTAGTAAATAAACCTTGAAGTTCAGTGTAGGCCATCTTGTGTATCACAGCGTAGTGTGTACCAGAATTCGTATTTTCCTAAACAGCTCAGTAAAGTAAATTTCGGCTCAATTAGCTTGGCTGCGAAAGGTCAAAGGCAACAGATACCTCCCGAATTTGCTGGAGCATACACGAAACAACAGCTTTGAACTATGTGATTCAATACAGTATTAAAGTTATAGCTTAACTATTGTCTCACTTTTTTCCAAATATTCCTACCTCTTTAATAATGTAAAATTGATATAAAGACAGCACTATAAGGTAGTTTTCCATCTAGAAAAATTGAAATATTCTTATAAGTTACAACTTTCACCAAGGAAAAATATAATCTCACCTTGCATGCCAGAATTACAAGGAGTCTATTACCTTGCGGTTTTTCGCAAATACTTTCCCTTGGCAGCTAAAAAACACGCTATGTTTACCTGTGAAATGAAAATGCAAAGTATTAATCAAGTAATCTTTCATTTATTTCTCATTAAGTATCTCACGAGCACGCTCATATATAGACCAAAATCCAGTAACATACTTATTGGCATTCTCGTGAGGATGCTAGATTTTGGTATACGAGGGTGCTAATGAGCATAATGGATTTTAGTACATATACACGTATGAGCATATCTTATTTTGGTGATAGACTCGCTAGCAATGAACCTAGTTATAACAAGCACACTCACCAGTCGTAGTTTGCAATGCTTCATTGAAATAATAACCAGCGTGATCTGTAGTCTGATCGTGAGTAAAGGTAAGTGGTGTAGGTTCAGAAATATCCATTGATTCCGACATCTCTTCTGATTCTTGTAGAGTAGTTTCAGCAGATTTAGCATTCTCAGATATGAGATAGTCTATTACCACTGCAACAGAGAAGCAACGTGTTATTTTATTGTAGAATTCAAGTTGCTGGTATAGGTTGGAAGGTAAAGTTCCCTAACTATATTTGGTTCGAAGCAAAGCTAAGAAGGATAGGACGATATTATGATGGCGATGATGATGGTGGTGATGATGATGGTGATGATGGTGATGATGATGATGATAGTGGTGATAATGATGATGGTGGTGATTATAGTGATAGTGGTGGTGATAGTGGTGATGATGGTGATAGTGGTGATGATGGTGGTCGTGGTGATTATAGTGATAGTGGTGGCGATAGTGGTGATGATAGTGATAGTGGTGGTGATAGTGGTGGTGACGGTGATAGTGGTGGTGATGGTGATAGTGGTGGTGGTGATAGTGGTGATGATGGTGGTAGTGGTGATGATGGTGGTAGTGGTGATGATGATGAGGGTGGTGATTATAGTGATAGTGGTGGTGGTGATGATGGTGATGATATAAAGATGGTGGGTGGCTGAGATGATGGTGACAAATTAAAAAAAAACCAATACATCTTACTTCTCAAATTTTGTTTTATCGAGAGACGATAATTAAACTTTTTCATCTCTCCATAATTTCTTAATGCTTTTGTAATAATTCTTGATGCTAAAAAATAAAGATTTCAACGCAGTGTCAGTTCAACACATCTCCACAGCACAAAACTGGATCAAATGGGTTACCTCTCAACCGCTCTCTCAACTTTCGACAATATTGTCTAGCCAGAAATCCGCGAACCCCAGATTGAATTTTCACCGCAAACCAGTAAAGAGCATCACTTCGTAAATGTTCAAGTTTGGTTATCTGGAAAAGAAAACAAAAGAATTATTATAATTTTTCTTGCGACGGTTCCGTGAATAATAACGGTCAATGGTGATACCATATCAGATTCTTACCATATCGGACTCTTTCATAAAAACCTTTGTCTTTCCAATCCTCCAAATTTCTGGCGAGAACTGGGCAGTTTCCATAATAGCTTCACATGTGCTTTTCTTGTCTCCGCTAACATGGTCTAGCACATCTTTTGGTAAGATCGCATCATACCTAGACGCGAAACCGTTAATTGTTGCTTGTTTCAGTTAAAGTTGATGGGTTTTTGTAAAAAATTTCGAAATTTTATATACAATTTTTGACCTGACAGGGAGCAGTTGTGAAAAATACAAGTATAGGTACTCCGTCAGAAATCGAACATTACTCTATGTTTTTGTTCACGTTTATGTGCACTTTCGCGGTCAACCGAAAAATTTTCCCTGTATAATGAAGCGATCATCTAATTGCAAGCATATAGGCTTCATTCCTTTTCCGTAAGATTACCTGTCAATGACTTTATCAAACACTCTACGAAAAGCAAAGCCGGCACGTCGAACATCGATGTTCTCGCGAAGTCCGAGATATGAGATCTGAGGAAGAATTCTAAGAAAAACGTAAGTAAAATTTAAACACTGGAGCACAAACCAAGACAGCATATCCCCTGCTCCCCTCTCACGCATAGAAATATTGTATGCATACCTATGATCGTGCCAGTCCAAAGGTTCCTTCGTTTCGCTTGGCTTCAGACATCTCACATAATGAGGAGTGCAAGCCATGATTCGATCAATCAACGTTTGACATTGGGACTGGAAAATATGATTGCAAATAATAAACCAGGTAAAATATAATATTTCTAGCAAATAATACTCGGACGGATCTGAACGCGTAGCTCAGTTGGTAGAGCATTGGGCTAGTATTCCAAAGGTCGTAGGTTCGATCCCCACCGTGGCCAGGCATATAGCTTGTCCGGTGTGGATATACACTCAGAGTAACATCACAAGCATCATATTCACCTGAGTACATTACACCAACACAGAAAAAATCTTAAAAGAACACAATCTAAACCTCGGATGAAACGAGGATGAGAGCGCATGAGTACAGTCACGTGACCTTGGTTAGATGTTCTTAATGCTTTCCCAACACTATCACGTATTATTTACCTTAATTTTACTGCTGCCTGTGGACCCGCGGCCACGCCTGCCAGATGAGGTTGGCATATCACTGAAGAGGTTTTGAATAAACTCACTATAGAAAACAAGGTTATGGATTGTGATAAACTTTTGAAATGGATTTACAGAAGGGTGCACTTGGTCGATGGTCGCACCCCTGCTCACGACTAACGCCCGTATTCTAAAAGCTCACTCACACTCAATGAGTGCAGGTTGAATCTGAGCTTCTTTTGAGTGTCAGTGCTGTTTTTGAAAAGCCGGAGGGTGAGTAGCATTGATGAGTAGTAACATAGTAAGGTAGACTAGACCTCTAACTATTCAAAAACAGCATTGACACTCAAAAGAAGCTCAGATTGAACCTCCACTCATTGAGTGTGAGTGAGCTTTTAGAATACGGGCGTAAGAGTCGACGAGCACTTCCCCTACCTACAGTACCTCCCCTGTATGGCTCCTCCCTGGTGAAATTACCGTAATTTTAATTCTATTAATACGTACTTCTGACTAGACTGCATCAGTTGAACGATGTCATCAAACAACGAGTCTTTGTTTTTTTCACAAAAATGCGTCGCCTCGTAATGCACCTGGCAATGACATCGCAAGTATGGTGAACAATTTAGAAAGTTAGAAATATTCTTACCATAGTAAATCAAAATTACCTTTCCCGCATAGTGGTGTATTTCAAAATGTGTTGAAAGTCCTCGGAAGTATCGTGAATATGTACTTTCTGAACCCACAACTGCTTTGAGTTTCTACAACAAAATCGTGAATGAAATATGTTCATGGATTGAAATTGGAGATGTATAATCCGCCGGTGTGGAAGGGTTGTTCATGGTGGAATCAATACAAGCGGACGGAAGGCAAGAGTAGTATGCATGTTGCCTCTTATTGCCGAGTTAAATATATTTAGATCATTCAAGATTATTGAACTATGTGAAGTAATTTGAGGTTGTACAGCCTTACTGTTCAGTTGAGTGAGTATCAGCTTCTCCTGAGAGCTAGTCTACAAAACGTCCACTGTGTAATACGCCAATCATTAAACTAAAGCATTTCATTAATGTAGTATTCAATACCTCCATCAGTGTTCTACCCGATCCTTCAGAAGCGTGCACTGTGAAACAAACATCATCTAGGACACTCATTATACCTGGAGGAATCTAAATAGGATGATTTTAGTTATTAATACTAGATAGCTTTATCATACTGTTCTCCCTATACAGGTCCAGTAAGGATCATCATCATTTAAACTGAATAGCTCTATCAGTTCTAAATTGTTCTCCGTAGAGGTCCAGGTTAAGGATCATCTCTTATTGATCCAGTGTTACTACAGGAGGAAACCTAACCTAAACTGACTTTATTCATACTGGATAGCTCTATCAGTTCTAAATTGTTCTCCTTAGTGGCCCAGTAGTGATAATCTCTCTTATTGATCCAGTGTTACTACAGGAAGAAACCTAAACTAAACTAACAGCACTTATACCGGATAGCTCTATCAGTTCTAAACTATTCCTCCAAGTGATCTAGTAAAGCAGTGGTCGAGTATTACAACAGCAGGAAGTCTAAACTAAACTAACTTTATTTATACTGCATAGTTCTATCAGTTCTAAACTGTTCTCCTTTGTGGCCCAGTAAAGGTCATCCCTTGTTATTCCAGTATTACCACAGGAGAAAATAGTTAATAACCCTGCGTTGTTTGGTAGAGTAGAGTAAAACAATTGTGTGAACAAACCTTGCTTTCGATAAGATCACAAACCAATTTATTATTGAAAAATTTCACAGGAGTCCAAGTTATCCCTTCCTCCAAATATTCTTCCTGAAATTGTAAAAAGAAATTGGTTTAATTTGAATGAAAAAATAAAGGAAATAAGAAAGAGACGCAAGCGCACCTGTTCACTCTTGAGCGTCAACTCGACAAAAATCTGCTGAAGTTTTTCGTTAACAAAATTGATGCAGAACTGTTCAAAACCGTTTGTCTAAATGCAAAATAAACAAAGCTGTATGTCAATAACTAAACTAACATTATTGATACCACAAATCTTTGTCAGTTCGTATAAGGAGTTCCCCGGCGAAACCAGAATACTTGGTGAAAGTCTGCGATGTTTGGTAGAGTCAAACTAGAAGCACTTTTCTCACATGCGACTGAGGTAAAATTATAATCAGACAATTACTGCATATAGACCCATTGCACTGACGTCACAAATCCTTAGAGTGTCCTCCAGATGCTCCCTAACAATATCTGTTCGGGTACAACAACCACATACAGCGCAAAAATTAACCATTTTAATACAAAATTATTATAAACTTTTAGAAAATTTGCTTTGTTTACAAAAGTTATATTATGCATAGATTGCTAATTTGTCCTCCAGATGCATCGTCACCGGCGCTGTGACGTCATGTGCAATGGGTTTATTGCCGGAATCAAACCTCGACCACAGAGATGAAAGACGCATGCGCTGACCACTGTGTTCGAGTCATCGGCATCCTACACAAATCCTTACCTCGAATATTTCAAAACCATAAATATCCAGGACGCCAATGCACAATTCGATCCTATCCTTATGCATGGCACTGTTGATTACCTATAAGAATAGAGCACAGGAGAATTATAACAATCCATACATAGACGATTACAGATCATTTTATAACTGGCATGATTTTAGAACTAACCGTGACAAGGAAATCAAAAAGTTGAGCATACAGAGCTTTCGCTAAAGCGTCCCTGGAGATATTGGCCTAGAACAGGATAAAGAGTGCAGACAATACTCAATAAATTACGCTAGTTTAATCTCTATTCATTAATCCCCATGAACACTTGAAAATTTTATTGTTTGAATTCCCTTGATAGTATATTAGTATTCGTAGTTCCATATTACCATATGGAACTACGAATATACTAATATACTATCAAGGGAATTCAAACAATAAAATTTTCAAGCGTTCATGGGGATTATGGTGACACAAAGGTCAGGGGGGGGAGGAGTTGTTTCACTTCTGTGGATAGCGTTGTTTGATTGTAATTCCACTTCAAGATCAAATATAAACTTTCATGTAGGTTTTTTTATGGTATATTGAAGCGGTTTGCTCCACAAGAGCTAACTGGACCAATAAGGAATGCTACTTACTAGACTCAAAGAAAGAAAACATTTAGCTGATAGAGTTATTCATTACCAATAAAAGTAAAGTTATAGTTAGAACTAAGTTAATTACTGCGATATTACATACCTGTTCGGAATTAAGCGTCATCATCATAATGTCAACTTTGCCTCCCCAACGCGCCTCCATCAAGCGGCTATATACAAACAGTAAAGAAGATTAATAATCATACAGCTTTTTAATTATAAAAGCAGTGATTGACCCTGATCTTAATTGTTATTTCTAGTCCGTCACTATATTGCTCAAAGTTTAGTCCAAGAGCCCTTCATCTCTGGTTGTGAGGTTCGTTTCCTGCTATATACAGTTATGACTTATCCGACTATAAAATTGAATGACATGTGAAGGTGTTTTTTCCAGTTCTCCTCCTTTGGCACTGGACTAAGAATGGATAAAGAGATGCCATTACCTGACCAATTTTTCTTTCAAAGCATCTTTGTCCACACCCAGAAGCTGCGCGGGAACAATCAAATCTGGCATGACAGAAAAAATATATGACTTCCAAAATATGTCGAGTCTAATCCAATTCTAAATGCTCGTCTACCGTGACTTTCTTCTTCTGATGGATCTGAACGAGTAGATGAGTTATGAATGTTCTGAGTATATGTACCCTCATCTGAACATTCATAACTCATCCACTCGTTCACATCCATCAGGAGAAGAAAATTGAACCTAAACTCGCAGCAAAAATTGCAAGTATAAACGAACCTTACAGCGCGTTACGCGTGAAAGAAAGATTGGCTCATCCCCAAGAAAGAAGCAGAAACATGCATGGTCGACCTACCCGTGGGATTCTCGACCTCGGCAACATTGTTATCCTCGACAAACTGGATATTCCCAAGATGTAAAATCGCTGAAATCACCCCCAAGACATTTTTTTGTCGTTCCAAAGACAAACCAACAACACTCATTGCGTTCTAAAAAATACAGCGAAAGTTCGTGGCAATGAATCACTTCATGTGACTCCTTCAGCGAAACATCCCCCCCCCCTCCCCACAACGAGGCGTAAGGTTTTCCCAGCCTCGTTTGTTATGTATGTAGATGATGAGACATAAATTAAGGTATGCTTAACGCTAACAGTTCTTTTGACCAAATTACATAAAACTTCTTTTGAACCTCTTTAAATCAAAAACCTTACAGCGTTTACACATGAAAGATGTCATACTGTGATTAAAGAAACGTTGATAGTGAATACTAGTTTGTCTGCTGAATACTAGTTTGTTTGTGAATACTACTTTGCCTGCTTGTTTAACTAATAATCAGTATTCATTTACCAGAGTCGCTTGAAATTCTTCGGTATCATCAGCATCAGGGACATCATAGACTCCTCCAGTACGGTTCAAGTAATAATACTCTGCTGGATCTGATTCTTGTAGACCTAGTGTTTCTGAAAGTGAACAGAAGATAAATGTCATCTTATTACAAGGGTTTTGATAAAATAAACAATTATATTGGATTACTTTTTAGCAGAGGTCTAGGTTAAAGCGATTTCACGCATAGTTAATAGCAATATATGTTTCTAGGCTTTATGTAACTGCTAGGTGACTCTAACTGTTCTAAATTTTTCTCTCTGGAGGTCCAGTTAGAGTCACCCCTTATTGCTCCAGTGTTACTATACAGGGGGAATGCAGAGCACCCTGAGATCCCGAGATCCCTCTTGAGGACGTCTGGAAAAGCCAAACTGAAAACACGCTTCTTAAATGTGACCGAGGTGATGTTATAACCAGACAAATGAACATCGATCTGTGAGAATTCAACTCCTGCACAATTCCTCTGCAAATGATTTCGTCTGAATATAGGGTCCCCTATACTATAGAACAATCATGATTACCTTTCTGATCTTCGGAACATCCTCTGAGCAGCTGATAGAACACGTGATAGTTACGCTCCCCAGGATTCTGGGATACAACACGCGACTAGATGGGAGGCAAAAAGCAACATTAAGCAACACAGCCTTGTGGCAAGATGTAATCTATAAAGTATGGTGAAATTATTTTTCAAAAGAACGCTCACCTTCTCTAGAAGAAAGTTTGAGATCTTGCCACCATCTGGTTGTCCAGACATGTTGAACAAAATTTCAACAAACTTCCCCTGAAAAATTAAACTTACCACGTAAATTAAAACTATGTTGCATTGTTTTTATTTAAACTGTTCAAGCCCCATCTTTATAATCAATCGTACTTACAAAACGACTTGAGTTGTTGTTGCGCAATGTTTTCGCGTTTCCGAACGCCTCCAAAAGTGGATTAGACTGAATGATAATATTCTTGATCTCCTATATAGCAAAGAATACTTTGTTAGTTAGCATGAAGCACGCCAGTACAAGTCATAAGAAAGGTTTCCTGATGGTTTAACGAAAGAAGCGATGTATAAAAGCAGTTTTAAAACCTCAATTTTCTGAGTTCCACCACTCGCAATTTCTGATAGATAAGACATGATGTATTTCGCTGATATCGTCTTCCCCGCGCCACTTTCTCCACTAAACCGCAAAAAGAAGAGATATCAATGCCAATGCTATACCAGAAATAAACAGAGCAACACGTTTCTTGCAGCATCCATTATCTGTCCTCTAAAGATTACAAAATTTTAAACTACCTGATAATCACACATTGACTTTCTCGTTCAATCATCATATTACGGTACATGTTGTCTGTGAGGGCATAGATGTGGGGCGGTAAATCCACGCCAGAATCCTAGCAAAACAGAAAAAAAATATTTGAAAATATATGTGAAATTCTTGCATGATTTGGGGATTCCGTGGCACAGTCATCAGAGCGCCTTTCACCTCGGAGTTTGTCAGGGTTCGATTCTCGCTATGGACTCATGTGAAAATGTTAACGCTCTGCCGAAAGTCGTGTCTTTCCTCTGGGTGCTCCGGTTTCCTCCCACAGGAAAAGTTGACAGGGTGGGTTAGGATAAACACAGTTAAGAAAGTAATATCACAATTGTTGTAAAAGTCAGTAGTCTGGGTTAAGTATGTAATTAGGTAATACTCGATGTATTTGATCATATATATCACATGTAAATGGGGTTAGGTTAAAACGCGGAAGCGGATGCGGAACGGATATGCGGAACGGAACCGGGTGCTCCGGTTTCCTCCCACCGGGAAAGTTGACAGGGTGCGTTAGGATAAGCTTTCGTTGGTAGAGATGCAACTACCTGAAAATATATATGGAGAATTTCGACGTTTCGAGCGAAGGCCCTTCGTTGTTCCATACGCCGAAATTCTCCTTATATTTTTTAGGTAGTTGCATCTCTACCAACGAAAGCTTGTTCATATTATTGTCACTACCTACACTGGCACAGACAGTGGGTTAGGATGGAAAAAGTAATATCACAATTTTTGTAAAGATAAAATAATCCAGGTTAAGTTTAGGTCTGGAAGAATAGAAACACATTAGTCTCCGCGAAGTCCTAGCAGCACAAACCTGTTCAGTGTCGGTGTCTTCGCATTGTATCATACTGGTGAGCTTTGCAGTTGAACATTTCAAAGTATCATCACGGTTTAAATTTTGTGTTTTCTTCTTTGTCTGTTTTGCTTCCAAGAAATTATTGTACGCAGCCACGTAGCTTGGAAAACGAGAAGAAATTTCATGTTGGCTCATATTTTCACTAAATTGCAAGTGTAAACAAGCCTATATAGAACTATCCAGTATTAATACAGTTGTTCAATGTTTTAAACTGACACTGTTACCTTCTATCGTAGATGTCCAATTTCTTGAAAGGGTTAACGGCTATCAATACCCGACCAATACATGTCTACAAGTGTAAAAGAAGAGAATTTAATGGGGAACATGAGGGAACCAACTTGTAGTCCTAGCCTTTCTTGAAAGGGTTAATGGCTATCAATACCCGACCAATACATGTCTACAAGTGTAAAAGAAAAGAAGAATTTAATGGGGAACAGGAGGGAGTCAACTTGTAGTCCTAGCCTTTCTTGTTCGTCTAATCTACACACTATATATGTTCCAGCTATCAAAAGCAAGCCAACATTTCTATTGACTTTTATAGATTTAGGTACGCCAGTGCATGAAGCAGGTAATACACGCAACAGGTAAGTTTCGCCTGACTATCCTGCACCATATGGTTGATCAACTGGTATAGATATCAGTTAATTCTTCTCATTCTACATAGTTGTCATTGCTTTTAGCATGGACTATTTGTTTAAAGCTATTGGGCATCTACACTCGATAGAACTAATTGTGGAAAGGATTTGTAGATGGAAATTTCGGGTGGAACTTTTATACATTTATTAGAGCTGAACGGGATATAGGCCTTCTGGCAGGAATCCAACCTGCAGCTCTGCGATTCCAATGCAGCGCTCTAACCAACTGAGCTACAGAGTCTAGTTGTTCGAGCTCTATAGAGATAGATACTCTATAGTCTTATATTAGAGCAGTATTGAGAAATCGGTAGTTTATTTATCTTGCTCTATCTAACAATTAATATTAATTAAATTTATGTCTTATTCACTACTATGTCAATACGACACCGGACGAATTCGAGACGGTTTACACAATTTCGTCAGATTTCTTGCGCGCTGTCTAAACGCGGAGCGCTAATCTGACAACGTTCCCGAATTCATCCAGTCCAGTAAACTCACATAAATCTGTTCTTCTAACAAACGTATCCGCAAATTCTCGGCGATAGTGTGATCATCTACATGTTCTAATTCGGTCATATCATCCAAACCTATCCGTTCTTTTGCTAATATTTTCCTGCATGTTTCTTGCCACGTTTCCACATCATTCACCATTCCTTCCGAACTCTCCACTTCCGTCTCATCCATAATTTCCCAAGATCAAGTTTTCCTTAGACTTGTCAAGTCGCGCAAAAAAATCCATCGTCACGGTTTTTAGGATTTTATTCTTTTTAGGAATTTTCGAAGTCGCGCGTTCTAATTGAACGTTTTTAGTTTGATGACGTTTTAATTAGCATGTGTTGCACGTACCGTTGACACGCGCGCACTTGCAAACACGTTGATGGCATACGCGTAAGAATCTTGTGTAGTGTTTGGACGGTACAATAGAATACAATTGAACGCAATGGAATAAAATACAAAAGAAGACAGTAGATATTAGAATACAATGCAATACAATATAATGTAATGCAACACAACACAATACAATACAACGCATCACAACACGACACAGTATAACACAACAAAGCACAGCACAACACACTACAACACAACACAACACAACAAACAAACAAACAAACAAACAAACACAACACAGTACAACACACTACAACACAACACAACACAGTGCAGTAAAATACAGTACAACACACTACAACACACTACAGCAAAACACAACACAGTACAACACAGTACAACACACTACAACACAACACAACACAGTGCAGTAAAATACAGTACAACACACTACAACACACTACAGCACAACACAACACAACACAACACAACACAGTACAACACAGTACAACACACTACAACACAACACAACACAGTGCAGTAAAATACAGTACAACACACTACAACACACTACAGCATAACACAACACAACACAACACAACACAGTACAACACAACACAATTAAATGCGATGCAATTCAGTGCAATGCAAAAATGTTTTAATACTAATTATTTTCATGTTAGAACAAAATGAGTGTCAATCATATTGATATAATATTATGACAAAGAAGTATTTAGACAAGGAAACACTATATATTTGAAAATTCAGCACTAAACGTCATCAGTTTCGTACCCAGGAACTCATCAAGACACTTGTTGAACTCTGCAAATCCGGTTGTAAAAGTTGTATGACGTCACTATGAGGTTCAGATTTGACTTCCACCACCGCTACCTCTCACTGACTTAAAACGCGTTCGGATTGGTTAATCGGGTAGATTAAACGTATCTGATTGGTTAATGGTAGCAGTAGTCAACATTTAAACCTCTCTATTAGAGTCCTTAAGATTGACGTTTACGGCAGATCTCCAACCGCAAAATTCAAATCGCATTTGAAGGTATTTCAAGGTAAATTCCATAAGTTTTCGATATCTTCAATTTCAATGTAGAAATTGTCCTAACTTCTAACAGTTGACCTCAAAATACGATTTGAAATCTGCCTTTTGTGGTCGTCCGTAAACCTCGATCTTAAAGTCTCTAATGTCATAACGCTAGATTGATAAACTTACATAGATGCAAAAGCCCACAAATTTCAAAATAGACTCAGACTACAGTATTTCCTATCGCTGACCATGACTTAGTCACGACCAGTGAGCTACATATATCATTGCTCAAAGACTATCAAAATTCTCGTCCAATTTTAAGTCTTTGAAAAACTCACGAGTATGTTTTTTTTTTCAAATTGCACGAGAAACCATACTATTACTGATTTAATAATATGCATGAAAAAATTATGCAGTCACGTGCGTAAGTCACATTTAGAAATTAAGAAAATTTCCATTTTTTTTGCAGTGTATTCCAAAAAAAGTTGCACAGCTCTTAGCCAATGAGAATTGAGAAATTCTTTCATGTATATTATTCTTCAGGTAATTGTCTTTCTCAGTCCGCAATTAGAGAGTTTGAGCAAGACAACGAAGACGAAGACGTACTTGACAATTTTTGCCGTCTGCACCATATCAGTGGTCTGCACATTATCTTGCGCATACTGATGAATTGGACGTCACTGCTGGGTTGCTCAGCGTGTCTTCCCATGTGTCGCTGTTTATGAATACTGACCCTAATCCTTGCCCTAACCCAGAAAAAACAGTGAGACAAGAAACTATATCCCGTCTTGTCTTTCTGCCTTCGTTCGGAACGAAGTTCACAACGAATTTTGCCAAAATATTCGTTGTGAACGAAGGCAGGAGAAGGAAGATATGCATTCATGTCTCGCTGTTTTTTTGTGATCAGGGTAAGGACTTGGGTCAGCATTCATAAACAGTAAGACACGAATCTCTAATCTGTCTTCACCCCTGACCCTAAACTCAGAATGCGTAAGATAATGTGCAAGACAGGCACAAATTGTCAACCACGTCGTCGTCGTCCAACTTCGTTCTCTTGCTCAAACTCTCTATTATGGAGCTCACGGGTCACAGACAAGCGTGACTAAATACACACCAGAGACAGCGTTCCACGTGTTTTGGGTGTCGCGATAAAATGAGAGAAAAAGTTAGAAAATAAGACAAGTACATTTAGATCAAAATACTTTGATCAGAGTTAATGTTTTGACCCATTAGGGCTCTCAGTTGCAGGGTCACTGTCCTTGGAGTCGGCGACTGGTAACGTAGTCATATTCTGTCGCATCTCATCATGCCTGACTTTGGAATACATACCCGATCCCCCGATCACGAAAACATTACTGAGCCACCACAGGGGAGTTTTGATTTCTTGATACACAGATACTGCCAATATGGTCTGTGCACACGCTTTGGCCGTTCCACTGATGTTATGAGTCAGTGGGCTGGTAACCTTAATCTGGAGGCCAGTTACATAACCTATCGCAATGCCAAACAACCCAGATAAGGTCATCACGCCCCAAAAGTAAGCACTGTTGATCATGGGGAAGTTATACATCACCTTAAACTCACCCATAATTGCCATTAAGGGTAAGAATAAGAAGATTGCATTGAAATTGTTGTACATTTGTAATCGCCAAATGTTATTGTCGACTACTTCAAGGTTTCGTTTGGTATATATGGCGTTTAAGGATACACAGAGACTGGCTAAGATGCCAAACATGACGCCTGAGTATGACAGCTCACCCGAACTCCCTTCTTGATTAACACCGAGTAGAAAACCACAGATTATAACAGCACAACAAGCAATGGCTTTGAACGAGGTCCTTACACCAAGCACAACAAATGTAAACATCTAGATGGTAGATGGAGATAGCTTACTGTATTAATTCCGGCATGTTTGAGAAGGACTTATTGATGAGAAGAGAGTTTACTGAAGTGGGGGTTTAATGTAGAGTGGGCTTAATGGAGATGTGACTCAATGGAGAGGGAGGCTTACTGGAGAAGGGTGTTGATTGGAGAGGGGAGCTTATTGGAGAGGGGAGCTTATTGGAGAGGGGGTTTATTGGAGAGGGGGTTTATTGGAGAGGGGGTTTATTGGAGAGGGGGTTTAATGGAGAGGAAGACATAATGGAGAGGGGGCTTATTGG